ATATATACATAGGGAATTAAAATTAATAAAAGCACAATAGAAAAGCTGTGAAAATTCTGTGCTTAGTACGACATAAGTTCAATTTTGTGGGACTAAACACAGAATTTTCATTGAATGAACGCAGAATGGACATTGCAGAAGGGAGAATGAATTACACTTATTCCTTCTAAACGCAGAATGAACACTGAACTGATCAAAAGCATAAAAAATTATAATAAAAATTGCCTCCGTATTTTCGTACTCTGGTGTAGAGCTCTAAGATTTGAATACTTTTCCATTAACTTAAATAGGCTTTATAAAAGTAAATTCTAAAAAAGCTATTATGCTGAAAATGTTATAAAAAATGACAAACTAAGTAAACAAAATAATAAAACAAAATAAATAAAAGTGGTGTATTTTGCTGAAATCATTTTTTTCTATTCGAAATTTAAAATGATAAAATGCTATAAGTGCAGTCCTTGGCCAAAGGATACTTGTTCGCCAAGGTACAGTCAATAAGTACAACCAATCAGAGACTATTTTATACAATTTATTTAATTAAACTAAAACGTACTGTCTTCAAATGTATGGACACTTTGTCCCATTGCGACACTCTGCCATGCTTGTAAAAAAAACGTTGTGATGTTGTTTAGATCAGTTGCGCATGCGCTCCTTGACTTCATCGTCAGTTTGAAACCATTGACCATTTCCCGCATAGCGTTTATGAGCTCTTTAAAACCATGAATGTCACAGGGAAACATATCTGGAGTATAAATTGGGTGGCACAGGAGATCCAATTTTAATATTTGCCGAAGCTTCTTTAATGTACTGACTATCTAGGATCCAGTATTGTAGTGCAACAGGATTTTTGAATGAAGCAACAATGAGTTAAGGGGAAGTTTTAGTAATTTCATCTTCTTTTGATATCAGAAAAGGAATGGATAGACTGATGGCTTGAAGGTTATTTTTTTTCCATCTTTGCTTGCATGACAAGCCATTTGGCGAGAAAAAAGAATTTGCAGAAGCTTCCTCTTCCTACTAGCAACTACATTTCAAGCCAATCTCCGCTTCTCTATTCAGAATAATTTTGGTATATCAGTCTTTGCCACATTATTTATTGACTACTATTTTGTTATGAAAAACCATCCATCTGGTTTTCAGAGATGATTAGTATAATGTTAGCCTCAATGGGTCATCCGGTTTCAGAGGACTGTTTTTTTACAAGCATGCAACGCAGAAAGACGATAGAACATGGAAAGATACATATACTTCCAAGTATCCGGTACATACTACAAATGTTCAATATGTTCACCCTTGGTCATCCAATACACATCCTAACTATAAACCCGTTGTGCTCATACGTCCAATAGAATGCTTCGATCAATGTTCGTTATCAAATCTATGAGGGTTTTTTTCAGTGTTGTTGACATCGGTTCAACCGGTTCCTCAATGGTTCATCCGGTTTCAGAAGATTGTTTTTTTTACAAGCATGCAACGCAGAAAGACGATAGTACATGGAAAGATACATATACTCCCAAGTATCCGGTACATACTACAAATGTACAGTGTGTTCACCCTTGGTCATCCAATACACATCCTAACTATAAACCCGTTGTGCTCATACGTCCAATAGAATGCTTCGATCAATGTTCGTTATCACATCTATGAGGGTTTTTTTCAGTGTTGTTGACATCGGGGATACATAAAAAGGTGAAGGAGAAAATTTTTACACTCCCAATTTTGGCGCAATTACAATGAGAAAAAATGTATGGTCAAAACTACCAGAAGATGTTAAAACGTACCGTGTTTCTGGTTCTGTAGGAAGACCAAAAAGTTCAGTAATTTGCACCGATTAGTAATGATCTTAATAAAATCAACAATAAAATATGGTTTTAAGAAATGTGATAAAATTTGCTAGATTTGATAAAATTTGATAATTTTATCATGATTCCTTAGAGCGTGACATAAAAGCCATTTATTCGGTTAAATTTATCTTTCAGTTTTATATTTCTCACTGAATGTGGGGCAAAAAAGGCAAATAGTTACCATATGAACGGAAAAATTACCCGATAAATGAATTAAATTCCGTATAATTAGGTTTTATTAACCGGAATTATGTCTTTTCTTATCAGAAATGTCATTACCATGCAGTACGGTAATTTTACCAGAATTTTTTTCTCCGTTTATGAAGGGAAAAATTTATTCAACAGTACTGCAGAAATGCTTTCTTATTGAAGTGATGGACTTGGATGGAGTTATGATTCTGAACTTTAAGATGGAACTGATTTGGACGTGTAAGATGACTTAGTGTGGACACAATTCTGCTGAGTACTAGACATTTAGTAAGTGTATGAATCTCCTGTTTTAAACTTGTAAATTAGCAGTGTTTTAAAACTGGATAACTCTGTATTTTTTTTTAATTAATGCATTTTGTGAATGGCCACATCATAATTCATTCTGTTTATAATTAAAATAAACAGTTTTAAATTTTTAATAGTCATGAAACAAAATATTCGAAATAAATATTAATTAATCGCTTGACAACCCGCTGTCCGATGCAAATAATAAAACAAAGTTACAAATTTTCCATTTCATCTCAAATCAACAACCCTGGCATCGTCCCATCAAGAAAAAGTAACACAAATGTACATAAAAGTGACAATAGTTTAGTTTTACAATTTTTTTATGCAACTCAAATCACGTCTTTGGAGTATCTCACTGCATAATTTCTCATTATAACACCAAATTCAAAGCCACTGTTAAACAATAGATGAATCTAGATTCGGTATTGTATTCAGCATTTTTCAATTAAAGGGTAATACCATTTAATAAGAATACGCTTTATTCATCTCCATTCCTTCATTTGGAACAATGCGTAAGATCGACATGTAACCAAAGAACCATGAAAACGGTTCTATCGCTTGAATGCTTACGCCGATCTCTGTTTATATTTGCATCAAACTGAAGGCAGTAACGTTAAGAATATTCATTTTTAAGTTGGTTCTGTAAAGGTTGTTGTTCCTTATTGTTAAAATATAAACTAACTATCTAGATTTACGTTTTCTGTTGGAAATAATCCCCCAGCACAGAAATAATTCTCTGACTTAAAAATATATTATTCATTTCAACTGATTAAAAAAAATGAATAATCATAATATTTAGTGACAATTCATAGAAATTAACCAGGAATGCAATTGATGTTTCGTAATTATAACTTATAATAATGATCATCAACATTAATGATTTTAATTTCAAGCATTAATAAATTGTATTACTATATGGAATAAAAGCACAAATCACATTGTTTTAAAGATACTTGAATCGGTGAAGCTTGAAATTCAACAATCTTTTCCATTCACAGATTGTATATTTAACGTTAAAATTTTAATCTGTTATTATCTCACATTTTTTTAAACCAATATAACAGTGTATTTTACACCTATTATAAAAATACCAAGGAATTTCAATTAACTTTTATACATCCTTCACCTATGAATATATTTCTATAGATTATATTTCTATAATTCTTATAATTCCCTTATTCTTCTATAATTATATTAATAAGATTATATTTCTTTGATTATGTTTCAATGATAAACAATGATAATGGATCGATTTCTTCGCAGCATTTTTATCATTTCCACAAGAGCCGTTGTTGCTCAGGGAATAGAGCCCTTGTCTCCCATTGAGGTCTCCAGGTTCGAACCCCAGCGATGGCTGGTCGATACGAATTCTGCACACGGTCCGCACCTTCACGGTGCTGACTGAAAATATTTCCAGTGCCAAACGAATCATGTTTTAGGCTTAATATTGGATGTTTTGTGGCGTTCCTCATATAACATGAATATGGCTTAGTTCTATCAAAAAGTTCTCCGCGAATTCAAATTTCTCCCAATACTGATCCAGGTGTTCCCTTTTCTATTGGATAGTGTTCAAAATTACGAGGCTTACGGAGTTGAACATTAGTAGTTGTACACTCAAAATTTGGCGGGATTTTCAACGATGCTTATAATTAGAATATAATGTCAATTCTACAAAGTAATACCAGAATGCCAATCAAAAGAAAGAAAAAAAATTCTTTAAAGTTCCAAAAAAGTTTTACATTGGAACGTATTTTTGAAATAGATATTTGTTTTGTGTTGTAGAATTGGAACAAGTTGCTTGAATGCAGCTGTTGTTGTTACCTATCTAAAGCTGAGATAGAAAAATCATGTTGCCGT